GCATGGGGATGTCCATGATACGTAGGGACTTTTATAGCCTACCTTTTTTGTGTGCTTTTACCCAGATTCATTTTGTGTAACCAATTATTTGTCAACACATTCACTGCCTCAGTTTTTATTTCTTGTTTTATAGATAATTTGCATGGAGGACATTTTGAAATCCATTTTAATCAAGTACGAGTTCCTGCCACCAATATAATCCTGGGTGAGATAAGTTTGAAAGAGATTCTCCAGAATTATGGATTAACATGGTTTGGGACCTGAGTCTAGAAAAGATATGCAACTTACCTTGATTTGGAAAATTCTTCTTATTAAAGGGGGGAGGTGATTTATGGACTTCCTTCCATAAAAAGTAAGGTTTTCTTTAAGTTTGGGGTGTGTGTGGGTATTTTTGTTTTGTGGTACAGCACATCATTGAGAACCCTATAATGCCGAGCACGATGTTTTCATAACATTTAATTATAACATTTATTATAAATCCATGAACGAATGTGACAATTTGGTTACATTTAAAAAACATTGCAAATTTTATATATTTTAATATATTTTGGTTGTTATATATATTGATAACTGTGAAAGTAAAAAATAAAAACAAAAAAAGTTTTTCCTGAAATTAAAAATTCAGGCATTATAGAGCTCAATACAAAAAGCATTGCCACTCAGAGAAGCATGCTTTTTCTTAAAGCATGATCTCTTAATCCAGACTCTATTTGTTTAACAAAAACTTTATTACTTTCTGAATTCAAATCTTTTACGCATGTTAATTAAAAACCGAAAATGACTTTGACAACACGTGGCTAGACAGACTTCACCCTCCTGCTTATTGGAATCCTACCTGACCTTGAAGAATATTCCAAATTCCCTATCTTGGAGGGAAATTTTTGTATTTCTTATCCAAGTCAGACTCATCCATCTAGTCAGCAAGCCCCAGACCTGCCAGGCTCTCCGGTTACACAGTACATGGACAGTCTCCCATCTTTACTGCCCTTGGCCTCGTTCTACAATCCGGTCTCTACTATTCTTGCCCCATCTTCTGGATTCTAAATGGGGACTGTCAGGCTGTGTGTCTTACCCACACCATTGCAACCATGGTGATGCTAACACAGTAGCTTTGACATATAAGATTTCCAAGAGATAGTTTTTGATTTCTTTGATATATCTATTACTGGTGGTTTAAAAATTACAAAAATAAAAATTGCCATTAAAAAAAAATTGCCATCAATGTATATTGAATCTTAGTACAGAACTGAGTTTTGTCCCTGCCAGAATGTGATTTTTT